GACCCACTTCCTCCTCCACATTGGCCTTCTGGCCAGATGCCAGGCCCTGAGGGAAGGGGGGACAGCTAATCTCCACAGAGAGAAGGCCCTGCGTGCTGTCTGTGCAGGCCCCACGTTGGGGGTCAGGAGGAAGCATGAGGTATCAGGGGCACAAGGGGGTGCTGAAAGGTGGGATGTGGGGTTGCTAGGACAAACATCTCCTCCGCATGGCTTCCCTGCAGTAGACTGTGTGTACCGTCTGCCTGAGGACTCGTGTCCCAGACCCGTGCCCCTGTCATGGTGGATGTGTATCTCAAACAAATGGACTGAAAAAGGCCTCCCCAGGACTCCATGGGGGACAACAGCAGTCCCTAGGACCTCTTCTCCCTGACTTTGTCACCTAAAAACAGACAGGAAGCAGCGAGCTCCAAGGCACGAACCCCAGCTGGCTGGTCATCAGGCCTGATGGCACTGCAGTCAGGAGGTGGCTCCCACTGGCACAAAGTACCACTCACCGGGTTATTTTAGGTGGAGTAAAATGCTGACAGCAGGCTTCCAACTAATGAGAGGGTATAGGGATTTTTCCCAGGCCTTCATCCCACAGTTAGAGATTAGGCCTGAAAATAAGGTTATTATGGAAATAAGGGGCCTATTTTCTAGAAGGTGATACTTCAGAAGCAGCCAGAACAAATTGTTCAGATAATACTTGTTTCCATGTGAAAACAGTTGAGGGTGGCCCCACAGCTAAAACATTCATTTTTAGCCAGAGAGGGAGAGCAGCTGGGACGGAGAGCAGCCGTGCTGGGGACTGGCCCTAACTCACTGTCCAGCCTGGGGACAGACACCCCTACCCACCCAAGGGGGACCTTCCTACTGCCCAGGGCAGCCACAGGCAAACCGGGAGACTTATGAAGACTCCTCAGAGGAGGTGACACGTAAATGAGGGTGAAGCTGGCTTTCCTGCATCCTCCCCTTCCCGCAGCGACACCCCTTCTGCCACCTCTTCCAGTGCCCTGAGCCTCATGCTCCCTCTCGGCCCCATCAAAACTCCCCATCTCCCAAGGACCTTATCTACTATCCGTCCCTTAAAGCAAAATGAAAGAAATGCACCCTCTCTCCCAGGAAGAATTTCTGTTTAAGTCTTCTGTCTAGACTTTATATCCAATATATCAGACAAAGATTGGGAGAAACGTCACATCCCCTCCCCCTGATGACCCGTTAGCTCAAGACTATTACTAGGACTTAGAACTTACCCCGGCTAATCTGAGCTGTACCTTCCTTCCACTGGGCCACCTAGAGGACCTGGCTCTGGCCCTTCTCCAGGCATGCATGAGAAGTAGTATGTGGGGCTGAGGGATGTGCTCAGCCACAGTCCTCTCCGTTCACTTCCAGTCCGTGGGCTGGGGACTCAAGATCCCCATCTTCCCTCCCCACCTCCAGTGCCTGCAATGTCTTCCTCCAAAGGGCAGACCATGCCCCTGTGTGCATCCCTGAGCCCAATGGGTGGCCAAGGGAAAGCTGTTTTCAAGGGGAGAGTATGGATGGAAGTTGGGTGTATGGGCTGGGGTCCCTCACAGCATGTGCCTAAGGCCACTTGCTGCCACATTAAGGCGCAGCACTCCCGGAAATCCAAGAATTCGAAATGTAAACTTGGCCTTCTGGCAGTGGTAAGGCACATTTGTTATGGTAAAAGGATAATTATATCTTATTTAACGGTTTGTTAGCTTGATTTAGAACTTCTAAATATTTACACATACGCATGTGGGCTTCTGTTTGTATTCTTGCACAGGCTGGACAAGGTCGAGGAGGGTCTGATGTTGGGTGTGTTCTCTAGCTATACCCAAAATCACAACAGACGGGACCTTCAGGGAACAGAGGGAAGGGGGAGGGAGGAAGAGTAAAGGCTATATATTCTGCACTGAATCCGTAAATTTAAATTGTGGCATTGCCTCAGGTTTCTATTACAGAAAAGATGGAGGGAAATATTCATGAAAAGAAAATATTTTTTCTCCAAATTGAAGTGTGTGGAATCTTGTGCCCATAAGTAAGAAAATGCTAAAAAAAAAAAAAACCAAAAAGCAAAAAACAAAAAACCAGGTGCAGACATGTCAAAAAGGGGCAGCTTGGAAGGGCAACTGGCCAAACCTTAGACAATTTGAACATAAAAATAAATAATAAGAGTAATAGACTATAACCCATTGAATAAAATAGGAATCTGTGAGTCCATAGTGATATAAATAAATATAGGAAAAGGAAAAGCTCTTCTAGAAAGAGTTAGAAAATTATCACTTGGCAAACATTATAGTAATGACTCAGGCAAGAATCATCAATGGATACTAAAACTAGAAAGTGACAGTTTGATGAGGAACAGGATATTTACACAGCCCCAAGGTATATCCTGACAAAGCATTTAATAATTACAAAGGGGAAAAGTAGTAACTTTGCCTTGGAGATACCTGGCAGGCCAGGTGATCAAAGTTCACATCACCAGCTGGGGACAAACTGACACCATGTGCCTCCTAGTATGGTGCAGTAAGGATTCAATGTTCCTTCTATCCACCAAAAATGCATAAGCTCAACCTGATCATAAGGAAACCTCAGACAAACCCCAATTGGGGGACATTCTACAAAACATCTGGTCTGTACTATTCAGAGTTGTAAATCTCATAAAAGACAATGACTAGACACTAAAGAGACATGACAACTAAATGCAACATGTGATCATGGACTGGATCATGGACCAGATAGACATAGATATCTATCTATATATATCTGTATAGATATATATACAAAGGACTTCATTGGGACAATTGGAAAAATACAAACAAGGTCCACAGAATATAGTATCAATATAAATATCTGGATTTTTTTTATCATAGTACTGTGTTTATGTAAAAGAATACCCTTGTTCCTAGAAAATACAAGTAGCAATGTTTAGGAATAAATAGGGGCATAAATGGTGCATCATGTATACAACTTACTCTTAAGTGCTTCTGGAAAAAAAATGTATGAAGAAGAAAGGGAGACAAAATGAAAAAGAAAATGTTAGGAATTTGCATGAAGGGTTTACAAGAGTTCATTCATTTCCCTTACCTCTCTTGTCCATTACCATCCCTGACCCATTCTCTGGCCATCCCCACACAGAAAAGCTCTTGGCCATCCCTTGACAGTCTCTGTGATGGGAACAAACACTCTGTAGCATTCTCCCTCACCCACCTCTTCCTGATCTGCCGGAGACCACAGGACTCCAGTCAGGTTTTCTACAGACCTTCCTGAACAACTGAGACAAAAGTCCAAGATGAGGAAGCCATACAACAGACTTGGGGATAATAAAGAAACTTCAGCCCAAGAGAACTAAAAATGCCAAAAATGATAAAACTCTCTAATGACACCTCATTTTTTATACCCAACATTTTGTACATGTTCTTCTATTTCATTTTTTTATCATAATCAAAAAAGTTATGCACCATATTGACAGTAAACTTCTGCCACTTTTGGCGTGCCTAATGATTTCCCCTTATGTGAATTTAATTAAGATAAAATATATGATACCTCAACTTCAAACCACTAGCATTAGCACTTCCAATTTTCTATTTCCAGTCATTTTTATGATATAAGGACAAAAATGAATACTCCATATCATTGCCACCCAGAAAATATGGCGATGCTGCTGAAACGTGAGTGTTGGCTCATGAGCAACTCCATCATATGATGGCTCAAAATGTTCATCAGCTGATGTATGCAGGTTCAAACTGAGCATACAAACAGTGGTTTATGGGCCAGTGAACAAGGCACAGAAGTGTGGGTTTTATGAAACTGGAACTTACAAAAGTAAAATGTCCCATATAAATTGCTAAGAGGTAAAAGTGAGAAGAGCACTTACAAAGCTACAAACACACATCATGATGCTCCTGACATGAGCCTAATAGACTTAGGCTCCCTCCTCTGTGCTCCCAATCCACCCTCAAAACCTGTACTAAACCCTCCCATATGTGTTACTGTAATTGTTAATTAACATATATAAACACACGCACACGTATATACACACATACACACCATCACTCCCAATAGACTATGGTTTCCTTAAGAAAAGTGATCATAGTTGATCCTTTCTTGACCATTTTCTAGCACAGTGCCGAGTTTATATATGTGTTCAACAAAGAATTGTGGAATTAATGAATTGTACGAATGAATTATCCTATAGCCTACATAGGGGACCAGATCATTGTTGCCACTGCTTACCTCAAGTCACTTTTTCAACATTTATATAATAATGTTCATTGTTCCTATTCATCTACCAAATATACAGATTTGGGGATTGGAAGTGTCAAGGTTTCACAACCCTCAATACGCATGCAATTTCCAGACTAAACTGAAGAGAGATTTATTGATGTGTCTCAAATAAAAATGCTCTCAATGTGTTTCCTAACTAACTGGAAACAGGAATTCGTGAAAACCAAACCAAAATGCAATGTCAAGATATTTGGGGCTGAACTTGGTGAGGAAGCAAATACCTAATTTAAATAAGCCCTCAGTTTTAGAGCTCTTATTTATAACAAAGAAAATAATGAAGCTATTTTCTTTATCACTAACGAGAAAAAAAATTCAAAAACAATTTATAATAAGCCTAAAATTCTCTCATCCAAAGAACTAGAGTAATTATAATTTTATAGCTGGAAGTGTACTCTCCAAAATTCTTCATTTTACAGATAAGGAAACTAAGATACTGTTTCAATAAGTGGGTTTTATTGGGGGGAAGGAGGCCAAATCGTGCATCAAGGTGCACACTAGAAGTAGAAGATGGACGTGTTACTAGCAGCGTGGCGTGACTCACTCCTTGTGACACAAACGCTGTCTTCAGACTGTTTTACAAAGCCCTAGACATTTGTGAGCAACAAGGCACACTGGAAAAGAGCTCTGAGGGACCACAAAGAATTGTCAGTATGTATTTTATGAATAGCTATGCAGTTATTTATGGCTATGACAGATAAAGAAAGCAGCAAAGAGCCCTTTCAACTGACCTTTTCTCCAACCATGGCAGGTAGGCAGGGCCTTCACATTTCAGGGTCGTAAAAGCTTGACCAAACACATGTTGGGGGAATTTCTTCAACTCAGCCTTGGTCATCTTTCGAAATCCCAGAACCACGTCAGCCCAGAACGGCACTTCTTCAGCAGGGATGCTCCGAAATATCTGCCAACTCAAACATATTAAGTGGAAAATTTTCTTGAAATTTTGTGAAATGACACATTTCTAGGAACCCCATGTGACATTCTCTAAATCATTTAAAACACATTCCTGTACACATAAAGGGAAAAAGATCTATTCTTCCATTCTCTTGGGTTAAGATAACTCAGTAGCTAAATTTAAAATCTTCATGATTGGGGGGAATAAGACATTTCAAAAGTAGTGTGTCTTTTAAAGATTGAATTTAATTCTCTTTTTCTAAAAGGCTCTTGCTCAGATTTTCTTTATTTACTTATGACTGCATTTCTGAGGAAAAGTTTTCCTGTTTTGCATAATGCTTTACATAAATTATAAGTAAACCATCAAAAGTTTAAAGATTGGCCTCAATTCTGACCAAAATATCTAAATTGGAATGAGCAATGGTGGGTGTGCAGAAGGCAGGGGTGCAAATTATGAGTTAAGTTGTAGGTCATCACCTTTAGCTCTTAATGGGAGAAGCAAGTGTTGTCAGGAGGAGCCTGTTATCACTAAGTCACCAGCACGGTTGGAAGTGGATGAGGCTGGAATGATATTGGTTGTTAACAAGAAGCCTGTAACAGTGCTACCAATAGCTGCTAGGCATGTTTGGATTTATAAGTATTGGGTTGTTTTCATCAATAGGAATAAATGTTCTAAATCATGGCTGCTCTAAAATAGCGAGGAAAATCCTTTGAGTGCTCTACATGGTTGCTAATGATGTGGTCATTAATGTACCAGAATTTATATCTCTAAGTAATCCATTCAAAGCGGTCCCTGTGGAAGGTATAAATGTTGTTTGCTGCAGGGCTCTACACTGGGCCCTCTTGCCGTCTCATTCTGCACAGTCTCCTTGAACTAGATTGCTCTCTTCCGTATCTTCACCATCATCTATAGGCCGAACACTCAGAACATCTCCAGCCCTCTTCTCTCTCCTGAGCTCCAAAACCAGATCCAGACTCATGTTGCCTACTCCGCATTGGGTAAGTCTACCTCCATGTCTCATACATTAACCCCACACACACTCTTCCCCTACCCCTTTCCCCAGTCTTATCCAACTCAGAAAATGGCACCCCATCCACCCACATGCTAACACCCAAAACTCAGAGTCATCCTTAACTCTATCCTCTCTCATCCCCTACATGCCATCAACTCTCAAGACCCATCAAATCTCCTCTTAAGCATTTCTCAAATCCATCTACTCTCTATCCTCACTGTCAACACCTAATTTATCCCACCATTATCTCTCTTTCCACAAATCTGTGCTCCAAACTATAGACAGAATATTTTTGAAATGCAAATGTGATCAGTTACTTCGCTGTGTAAAATCCTTCAATGGCTTCCCATTACCCTGGAATTGTTCAGTCCCTCCAACACAGCACAGTCACTTTAGACTCAGGTCTATACATGCGCTCTTCCCTCTACCTGGAATGCTGCCTCCTCTGTCCCCAACCCTGTCTCTGCCCCCTCACCTCTACAACCTCACCAGACTAATCCACACTCATCTGGATGGTCTCTACTGAAACATTACTTTTTTCCTGGTGGCTTCTCACAACTTCCCAGAGCAAGTTTATTCTCCAGATACATGCTTCCATAGAACTCTGTACTCTTCCCTTGGTAATTTGTGTCTCATTTGTAACTCACTAGATTCAGGACATTCCCTACAGACCATAAGCTACACTAGGGCAGGACTATGTCTGTCTTTCTTAAAAATTCCCTCAACAGGTGTTTATTGAGCATCTACCATATGCCAAGCAGTATGTACTGCATTGCTCCTTTCTATACCCCTGATACCTAGGAGAGTACTGGTACTGATAAATGCTGAATAAATTGTTTGAGGGAATGAATAGATGAATAAGGCTATATACTTATGCCAAAGACGCACAGGACATTTGTGCCCTTATCTTTGCTTGACTGATTCAAGTCCTTTTTGGAAGCAAGTCGGATAACAATCATTCATGTGAGGGAAATAAATCTCTTTTAGAATAGCTTAAAGTACATTCTTTTTAATATCCTCAATGGTGGCAAAGTCTTACTCTTGAAAGGACATTTGAATTTTGGACACAGATGTTTCCAAAAATTACTTAGAGCCAAAGTTTGTGAATTACACTGGGTCGTGTTGGTTTGGGACAAAAAGTTTGGCCATAAATCAGTGAGAACAATTTTTCTATATGGCTCATCAACTAGCTCTGGAGACAGTTATAGTATCAATCCATCTGCAGAAAGTAGAGAAGTAAAAGTTGCTACTTTGGGTACGGACCGTGGGAAATTAGTGACGTCAACATCATTTGGTGTTTGTGATGGTGAGGGCAGGAAAGAAGAGGAAAAGGGTAGAAATCTGCCGGATGCAGGTATGTTCACTAGCAGGAAATGGCAGCAGACAACCTGATTTCAAAAGAGGAGGGAGGAGAGTTTCTCTAAAACAGTACAAAAAAAACACAGTGGTTTTGAGAACTTAGTAAAAGGCAAACATCCCTCTGCTCTTCAGAACGCTGTAGGACCTGACTGTATTATCACACAGGATAATATAGACCACAGTTGTGTTATGCCATAAATTAAAAGTGATAGAATGGTTAGCGATCTCTGTTTAAGAAGATATAGAAAGATATTGTCATATTTTAGGTGCTAGTTGTGCTAGAAATGTTAAATAGGATTTATTTTTTAGACTCATTCATTTAATTATACATGTCTCCTGAAATCCGATATTAAAAATCCAATAGAAGTTTGCTAACCATTTCAGAAATATTTTTTCCTAAATGGCACTTCAAAAGGCAACTTTAGTGACCTGCAAATTTACTTTTTGGAACATCTCATGCTCCAGGGACACCAAATAAATAAGATGTCCCTATCCTGGATCTCTGCACCCATTCCAATATCACACTTGTTTGCTTTCCATCAGTCACATCATTCCCACATAACCCAAGCTATATGTTTTTCTAGCCATATTTGCAAATCACTGCATAATCCCTGAGGAAACTCAAAATAGTATTTGTGATGGGAAACTGTAAAGGTTATCGTTAAAAAGTCTAATATTATAACTTGTTTTTCTCAAGTTCTTTCGTGTAAAGCCTAAAATGTTCTAAATCCTCCCACATCTAATTCCGCACTCTGCTCACAGCAGATACTCAATAATATTTTTATGCTGAAATCTAAAGTCTGTTATGATCATTGTCAATTCTAAAATAATGTCAGATTTCCTCTCTTACCCGGACACCAGACAAACACCAGCATCTCCAGCTTGTGCAGAATTGGCGATTGCAAATAGGTGGTCAAATGTCTCTCTAAACCACTGCTTCTGCTTGGGAATGGGTGTGTCTGTAATCACGCAGAGAAGCAAAGCAGAACAGAAGGGAAAATGAGGATAATGACTATGCTTCAGACAAGTTCCTTCCTAGAAACTGGGAAAAAATTAAGAGGCAGGGAGGGACATTTAGATAAAGTACCACATTGTGTTGGAGGATCTGTCAGCGACCAGAGTTTTGAATGTTGACATGCTGTTGGTTTATGTTCCTATAATGATAAAACAACGGAGGGGAAATCAACCACTCAGGGCAAAATCTGGCATGTGAGCCAGCTGGAAGGTGGTCTTTGGCATTAGGTGTATTCCAGAGGTCTTTGAAGGGCCCATAACCAATCTGAGCAGAAGTTAGTTCATAGCTGAGGCATCCAGCTGGCCATATAGTTGAGATGATAGGAGAAAGGACCCAGGGCCTCTGTCCTGGGGGCTGAAAACATGGTGGGTGACAAGGGGAAATCTGTGGGGCCCAGGTCAACGAGGATAGAGAACAACCTACACATCAGTGGGAAGCCCAGGTTGCTCACTCTTCTGATACAAGGAAACAAGGCCTGCATTGCAGAGCTGAGCTCCTCGAGAAGAGCTCCTTGCAGCCACATCCAAGCCTGCCATCCATCCCCCTCCACTCCATGAAATCATGGACCAGCTTAGAGTAGCATTCCCAGGGTTACCAGGGGTGTACAGGAACCACACCAGGTACCACCTCTCTGTCAGAGTCCCGTGGACCAGTGCTCTCTATCCCTCAGGCATCCCTGCCAAAGCACAAGAGACTGGATTTGGACACAGCTTCCGGAAGGGTGCCAGCCCTGTCAGGGAGGCAATGAGGGTCAGAGTTCAAGACTAAAAATAATAGTGTCCAGTGTAGGCACAGAGAGCAAGCATAACCCAGAGGCACAGACAAATCCAGCTGTGAGGGAAGTATTTGGACATCTGATCTCTAAGGAAGGGTCATGAGGAGGAGTCCAGGGTCAGGCCAGGGACTGGAGAACAGTAATCCTGGGGGGCTGCTATGGGCAGAGCCACAGAGGAGACGAAGGCTCTGAGGCAGAGAAGATGCTGGGTCAGCTCTGCTTGGAGAGATGTCCTTGGGGTTCGTAGTAGAGATGAAAAGGCCCGCGGAGACAACCTGCTCCCCAGACAAAGCCCCCAGGTCAATGAGGGCATTTCAGTAGCAGGGTTTTAAAGCAATTCACTTATTAAAGAACCAAAAAATATTTTTTTCAGTAGTGAGTCTGTGCTGTCATCTTTAAACATGTGCCCGTGTAAACCCAACACTGTATTCCAAAATTGCAGACTGGGGCCACTGGTTTAGAAATAAGGAGGAAATAAATAATAAGCTGCAAAGAGAACGAAATCAGACCTCAGATGGATTTTACCCCATCAACCTAGGCCAGTGTGTGGGGCTGTATTGAAATGCATCCCCCATTCCCATCTCAAACCTTAAAAACAAAATAGTGGCTGCAACTCATACGCTGCAGAAGTCATCCCGAAAAAATGCACAATTCCAATTCAGCAGTGGGTAGAGGAAGCCTGGTGACCTAATTCACGTTCAAGTGCTGGTACAAGAAAACTGTAGCCAGAGCAGCAGTAAAAACAAAAGCAAATGCTGATACAGCACCTACTGTGTCCCAGGCACTGTTCTAAATGCTTTACATGTAGTAACTCATTTAATCCTCACAACAACCCTATAGAACAAGTATGGTCCCCAAATGGTATTGACATTTATGATCACAGAAGGTATTTACCACTGGGGCTGGTCTGAAAGAAGCCCAAAGAGAAGACCAGAGCCCTTATCTAGAAGCATCAGAGAGAAAGACCCTGATCCAAGAACCCCAACCACCTGCCCCAAGGGTGAGCTGGAGCCTCAATGGCCTGGATAAACTCTCAGATGAGCGTCCTTCCTTAAAGATGATTCCATGACTATCAGACAGCCTTCTGATAACCTCACCTGGGCCTGGTGCAAGCAAGGGGGCTCCTGGAAAATGGACACACGAACTCTGGTCACAAGAAAGGCTCCCAGTGTGAGCTAGCATTCTGCAAACACACCAGGCTGCTGTGCTCGTTCCTCGCGAGGCAGCTCCCAGGAGGCACTCCAGCATCACGGTTGCTGATAACGCCAAGATCCTGGACCTGCAACACCAAGGCCACTGCCCTCCCCATCCTGGCAAAACATGGGTTTATTCTCTGTTGGGTGAAACACGCGGTCTCTGGACTAGGAAACACCAAGCACAGGCAAAGGCAGGGATACCATACTGGAAATAGGAGGGTTAGGAAACACATGCAAACCGGATGCTAATATCCAGCCCTCTTCTCCCCCCACCTTCTAGAATACTGCCAGCCAGGCCCTCTCCCTCCCCAGCCTCTCCTCTGGGGAACGTGACCTGCCCAAGAAGAAAGACTTAAACATAATTACACCAGAGGTCCCCCAACTAAACAGCCCTGTCACGTCACTCCAGGGAGGCTCAAGGCAAAAAGCCCTACACAAGTGCTCAGACATTCCCATCCTCTGTTTAGGGTCCTGCTCTTCAAAGTCAGCAGACAAGTAAAGATGACCACATGGCCAAGGAAAACTTGCAACGTGAAAAATGAGAACATCAAACAAAAACATCAAACAACTTGGAGACAACAGAAACTATGCAGGGACAGGAAACTTTTAAAGCTATTATGAGTATCTTCAGAAAGACGAGAAAAGATATTGCAACCATAGGACACAAATAGGATGTTCTAGCAAAGGAAAATCCAGAGAACAAAAAAGAGCTTTGGAATATTGAAAATGCTATAGTAGAAGGGAGCCGAAATAGCTCAGTTGGGAGAGCATTAGACTGAAAAATGCTATAGTAGAAATAAAAAATTCAATAGCAAGGTAAAAAATAAAATTGAGAAAATCTCCCAGAAAGTAAAATAAAAAGAGAAAGAGATAGAAATAGGAGGGGTGGAGGTGGGAGCAGGGAAGCTAAGAGAATTGGAGGACCAGTCCAGGAGGCTCAGCATAACAATTCCAGAAAGAGGGACAGAGGCATCAGGAAGCACAAGTTAACAGCTGAGTAAGTCAAAGACAGCTTCTTGAACTGAAGAACGTGAGTTTCCGGATTAAACGGACAGGGCAATTTTGATAGTCTAGATTGCTGTTTTTTGTAATAAATCTTGTAACCATTTGATTATTCAAACTATGTGCATGTACAACTTTGATTTAAAGAATAAAGACTAATGGGGAAAAAAGAGACTGGAAATGAGGATGTGGAGACAATGAGTATAAACGTCATTCCCTGCAAAGTGATTTTGGTTTCTGTTTCACGCTCTTTCCCTCCTCCTCCTGTTTCATGTGAAGAGTACAGAATGGAGAGGATGCGTGGACATGTTTTAAAAAAATCAATACATCTTTAGGGCTGAATACATACTGACTGATTTTTTTAATACTGGCTTAGAAGTTAGGATCATTTTGGTTCCATTATAAGTAATTTCTGACTTGATGGTCATTACCTGTATCAGTGGAAAGACTTAGAGTTACCAATTGTAGTCATTAGTGCTGTTCACTGAATACTTCTGGCTGTCCACCTTCTGAGAGCCTATAGAACTGCACTTCCTGGCCTCCTTCTGAGGGGTGGGAGCACATGACTAACACTAACACAGAAGTGATGACAGTAGCTTCCTGGTTAGAGCCTTTAATTGCTAAGACGAGACCCCTCAGAGCTGCCTTCCTCCAGTCATGGGTACCCACGACATTCAAGATGGTGACTGCCCTATCACCTTAGGTCACTGGGTGACAAGCAGATCCCTTGCTGATGCTCAGTCAACACGTAGTGTGAGCACACAATAAACCTTTCCTTTTTAAGCTACTAAGATTTGAAGGTTGTTTTTGTCCTGCAGCATAACTGAGCCTTTCTCACAGATGAACCAATAAGATGTTAAAAGCCTACATTACACTTACATGTACATCCAGCTGTCCATGTCAACAGAATTCCACCAACGTCATTCTATCTAACATCTATCCTATCTGACAGAGGAGCTAAAATCCTTCCCTCACCTGGGTAAGCATGAGGAATGAGTATTCCAGCTGCCACATCACTCGTGGTATCAGGAGTAAACTTGTCTGAAATGACGGTAATGGAGCATCGTGGGACCAGTTTGGAAATGCACACAGCGGTAGAGAGCCCCATCAGGCCTGCCCCCACAACTGCAATCCGTACTGTATCCATGGGCCTGTGAGGAGGGAAAGTGTGGGTGTAAACTTTGTTTTAAGGATTATTCCATCCAGTACAAAGTTTGGCCCTGAGGATTCTTTCCTTACGTCCACAGCCTCTCAAAATAAGACCTTTCCTGTCAGCATTTCTCATGGGCTGATATGAGAGCTTTAACTCTTTTTCCATTAAATCTTGGGGTATGGGCAACAAGGACTCAACAGAGTTTTAGACATTAGCCCAAAACCGGCCTAAAGTTGCCTTTAGAACACACAACAGGTAAGTAGGTTTGCATTTAGGGGGAGAATTCTGTTCATTCCACCCCTTTCCAAAGCACTTTCCCTGTGGGCACAACCTAGGGAAGGTTCATGAAGAAAGCGAGGTGACAAGAGCAGCAGAGTTGCAGTCTGGGCTCCTAGAAACTTCCTGAGGAGCAGCCACTGAGAGGACACTACCCACGGGCAATTTAGAACTCAGCTCTTACTGTCTACAAACTTGTTTTTAATTATAACAACGTGACAGAAAGTTTGAACAACTGAACCCCGCGTCTCCTCTTCTGCTCCTCACTCTAACTGGAAACCAACTCTCCCCCCACCCCTTCCCTGACTGGTCACTGTCTTCCTCACCTCCATCCCTCCCACCCTCAGAGATAAGAACTTGGATTCCTTTGTGGATTCGGTCAGGTGCTGATTCTGTAACCTAGGGAGTGACCCACCGTCTCCTAGCCTCAACTCCTTACTTGGTAAACCGGGCCAGATGATTCTTCGTTAGATCCTTTGCGTGGTAAATAAGAGAGACCCACTGAGATTATCTCATAAAGGGGGCTTCTTTCCAGAATTTGTATGGAAAAGCAGGAGGCAGACACCCAGCAGCCTGAGCTGGGCATCCTGAGACTGGCACCTAGTGTGGGCACTAGACGGTTGATGGAGGCTCAACACCCTCCCACCTCCTTGCGGCTAATCAGCAGAGTCCACTGAGGCCTGCTGCACTGTCAGCTTCCCTGCCCACCCTTGCTTCCCTGCTTGTCTTTCTACTCTGTTCCCGCTCTCTGTCTAACTCTCTCTGCAGGTCTCAGGTTTAAACTCCAGAGACAGAAAATGCAATTAGTCCAGTTGGTCATTGCCATCCCTACTGGACAAAGTTCTAGCACCAGGCCAATTTACTGGGCTAAGCCAGCCTATAAATCTACCCTTGGCACAGTTGCCCTTCCCTGTCCAATCAGCAATAGCCAGGGCATTGGGTCTTGTGGCATAAATCATGGCCACTCGCAGGTAAAGATTCACCTTTCCTCAGGAGGGGGTGGGGCAGTTCCCTCTGCTGTGAGCAGGACAAAGGTGGTGGCAATGCTATCTTCCAGCTCGGAAGGTCTCTTGCACTATGATACTTTAACTAAGGTCCTCCCTTGAGGCTTAATCTGTATAATTTCTATTTCTCAAGCAGTATATGCATTTCCCTGGCCATTAGTTAACCTGATTGCTCTCCAGGGGGCTGGCTAGCTGAAAAGGAGCAGGATAGCCAGGGCAGAGGGAAGAGAAGGGAAGGGGCAGGGTAGAAGGCAGCCGCCTGTTCCCTAACTGGCTTTACTATTTCACACTGGCCTCCCCTGCCCAGCAACTTTCTCAAAATAGCTCTGATAAATTAAGTTGAGAGGGAAAGTAATCCGTGGCTGAGAATAACCAGCTGCCAGGGAGGAGAGAAGTGAGCCAGCAAGGTGGGTGCATCTTGGCCCTGTGACCTGTGAATCGATGTCACCTGATCCCGTTAAGACACACCCCCAAGCTCCCGGAGTATGCACAGAATGACCCCTGAGCCACAAGCAGGAGAATTCAAGTACCTGTCTCTGAAAAAGCAGCCTTGGAATCCACAGAAGCCTCTGGCACCAACACTTGTTTTCACAATGAGTGGTAGGTCTAGTGCCCCGAGAGGCTGAGGGAAAGCGAAACTGCCTCCCATTGGGGAATTTATTAAGGGCATTCCCTCTAATCTGACTCTCCATTGGCCTGTACGGCTGTGTCTTTGTCACTCATTCTCCTGAGAAAGGAGCGATTGACCTCATCTTGTGAGCTCCGTGGAGCTGGGGCTCTGCGGAGCCCTTGGCAGCTGGTCCTCCCTTAGCAGCACTTCTCTTCCTAGTTTACAAACCCTCCATCTCATCACCAGCCTAGGATTTGTAGGTATGGTAAACAATGGGTGAACCTGTCCAGCTTCCAGCAAGTTCCAGCTAGAAGCAAATACTAGTTTCCTCATTTGGCTGCCCAGAGTTAGCTGCCATCTCCCAAGGGTGCCTGGCTCTGCTGGGTCAGCTGGTGCGGGTGGCAGTGGCGGGTGCCGAAGAGTCAGTGAGATTTGGGTGGACAAAGAAGAGGAGTGAGGGGAATACCAGGAGGGAGGATGGTGTGAGCAAAGCCACAGAGGCAGGACGTTCAAAGGGAGCTGAGGAAAGTGAGTGGCTCCATGGGGAGGTCTGTGCGCGAGCAGAGTGTGCAAGCGCTGGAAATCTGGCTCGGATGGAGGACTGTATTTGAAAAATAATGGGAGCCCTGGAAGCTATCTGAGAGGGTGCCTTCTTCTCCCTGCCCAGGTAAGGGCTCTACTTCCCTCTGCAAAGCAAGAGGAGGAGGAAACTTTTAGAAATGAAACCAAGAAAGCTGTGCGTTTACAGCTAATCTTTTACTTTGTGCTACATAGAACTGTAGCAATGTGATTTGAATGAGGGGTCATTCAGAGAACTGGTAGGAAAACCTATCTGATTTAGGTATCATTGAGAGTGTCCTTTAGGTGTCATTAGGGGCTTCAAGGACCTTCCAGTGGGATCTTATTTTACAGTCACGTGGCTGACGTCCAAAGAGTTGAAGCGATCTCCCTGAGATGGCAGGCCCTCCTCCTTAACAATTTTCCAGAAACTTTTTACCTGAGGCTCTGGAGGTGGCCAAAGCCTCACCTGTGCCGTGTACTGGGGGCCTCCCTGATGGCCCAGCGCCTCCTGCTCTGCTCTCTATGGCTCCTGAGGTGTTGGCCTTGCTAGTGTGTTAGTCTGCCAGTAAATAAAAGGCCTCAAGCACAGAACTTGAGTTCTTCAGAAGGCTATTAAGGAAGCAAGGCTCATGGGGGCAGGCATTCAGCCATGTATGGCTACAGGTTGGGGCAGAGAAGGGAGGAAGAGTGAGATCAGGGAGACACAAGTCTCTGACATTGGCTAACCGTGACTCAGGGCACAGATGTAGGTCAGAGTCTATAATTGAACCCTTTCTTGCTTGTAAAATAAGAATTTCAAGGCTTACTTATTGGAACATCCATATAAATCTCTGAAGTTTGATTCCTGATAGGGTAGGTGAGCCCAGGGAGAGGCAGGGAATGAACGAGGAAAATGAATTTACTGAGGGAACTGACAGCTGTCAGTAAATACTGGTGCAGTGTGGACTTGAGAGATGAAATGAGCAGCCATTACTGACTTCTGGCAAATTCAGATAAGACATGAACACCCACAACTCCCAGACACTGGGAAGGGACGATGGACTTGGGCTTCCACAGTCAACTTTCACAATCGTAAATAAAATATCCTCTTCACCACCACAAGCAGTTACTAAGTATCCCTTTGCATATGTCATGTTACAGAATGAACTCCTTGTATTTAGTACGTTTTCAGTAAATATCTGATAGGAGTGAGAGAAAGGGGAGAACTTTAGAACTGAGCATTCAATTGAACACATTCAGAGAATATTTTCAATCGAAACTTCCTTAACAACAGACCTTTTAACAGCAATTTGGGGTAGGGGGGCAGATTCAGTTTTTGTAGGGTCTGAAGTTTATCCAGTTTTAAGAGCCTTCTTTATGAAAAAAAAATACAAAATCAGGAAAATAGAAATGCCTGTGATCACTTTGATGCACCTGACAGAAGAGAAATGTGACGAAAGGGAAACAGTGGAAGGAGACAGTGGTCTTAACTGATTGCAGTGAATATATCTTACTTTCGCAAAATTTACAAAATTTTACAAAAACTTATGAACCCATTACCAGCGGCTGTCACAAGAGCCTGTGCAAGTGAGGGACGTGAGCCTGAAGGTTATGCTTCATTGGCTTCACGGTAAGTTTTCCCTGCAACGATCATGAGCCAAAACCAATCACCAGAACCATCTATACTGCAGAATCCACAAGGGAGAAACAACGTATGTTGTAGGGCGCAATCAACTCGGGACAGTGACAGCATGATAGAATATTGACAGATTGGCCCCACATGTCCACTGGCCAAGACCAAGACTGGACAGGACGCTCACTACACTTGCCTTGACTGAGTGGTGGGATAGTATACAGAGCACGGAGGACTAGCATTGTACAGTATCAGGGCTGTGCAGGGTGGCATTTCATGATGTAGGTATAATATTTCATTTCATTTTCACAGTCCCATGAGGGACATTTTATTATGATCTTGAATTTTCAAATGAGGGGACTGAGATAAAGAGAGGTTGATTTGCTTAAGTGGGAGGATGTACAGCCAGGCATTTTTTATCTGCAAGCCTCACTGCCTCTCACGGTTCACTGCCTGTTGAAGTCAAGTTGATGCCTGGGCCTCAGTTAAATAGAACTGGTAACAAGGTCACCTACCTGCAGTTTACCTACTTGTGTGAGGCTTATTCTCTAAGCTTTCCAATGCTGTAGTAAAGTACTCCTCGAAATAGTTACAACTAGAGTCGGATCTGATGCGCTGCAACTAGGTTCCAACTATCATAGATCTAATAACATGACTCTTTTTCGAGTATAAAATCAGAAGGCTGTGCATGTTAAGAAATACTGGAGAAACAAAGTGTGTTTGGCTCCCTGTGTGACTAATATTTGTGAACTGTTCTGACAAAAAGCCCAATTTTTCTCCCAATAAAGAAAGGTTTTTTTTTTCCTTTTGAGTTCAAAACACTTTTTATCAAAGTTGCTGGACATAGTCACAATATATAAAATCAATCATCTTTTATACCAGCAATAGCAGTAGAAAATATATTAGGAATTTAGCATTTCTATTTGTAATAAAAATATAAACCTATGAATAAATATAACAAGAAATGTGCCTGATTTATGGAGAAAATCATACTTCACTGAAAGCCATTAAAGCCGACCCAAGTAAATGAAGAGATAACCCAGGATAAATGATGGAAGAGTCAACACCAGAAATAGGGTATGTTTTCCCTAAAATAATCTAAAAATCCAGCTCAATTCAACTCGAAACCATGACAGGCAGTTTCAGTAGTGTCAGTGGGAGTGTGGGCCCCTGGAATGCTGGTCAGCAGAAATGTGATTTCTCATAAGAAGCGGAAGCAGAAAGTGTGGGCTTATGGCACCCAGTCCATTTGTGGCAGCAGCTCCTTGATCTCTCAGTAACTTCTTCTCCATTTGGTTCCATCAGTTCTTCCTACACTTTCGTAACTAATTCCCCGGACTAAATTCCTCTTTGCTTGAAATATCTTAGACGGTTTTTGTTTTGATGGCTGGACAATTCCTGATACAGAAATACATACACGGGTGTTATGACTCAATGCTTGTAGGGTTAGATGAGGTCATGAGGGTGGGGCCCTCATGATGGGATTAGTGCCCTTATAAGAAGAGACAACAGAGAACTCTCTCTCTCCCCCTCTCCCTGCATGGGCACAAAGAAGAGGTCCTATGAGCACACAGCAAGATGGCGGCTGCCTACCAGCCAAGAGAAGAGGCCTCAGAATGAAGCCTACCTTGCCAGTACCTTGATCTTGGACTTCCAGCCTCCAGAACTGTGAGAAATAAATTCTGTTGTTTAAGCCCCCCAGTCTGTGGCATTTTTTTACAGCAGCCTAGCCAACTAATACAGAACATTAAAAAAAGTCAAGAAAATATCAAACATTAACTAAGAGAAAAAAATCTAAATGACGGTAGAAAAACAGGCTGGGGATAAAGAATAAAAGAAAAAAAACACAAAATAAGAGATGAGAGAAAAAACAAAGAAACGTCTTCCTCCTTTCTTCTCATATCCTCCTACTCATTTTGTTCTGTTTTCTTTTACAAAGGGAGAAAGGTTTTTGGTTTTATTTTTTATTTTATTTATTTATTTTTTTTGTGAGGAAGATTGGCCCTGAGCTAACATCTGCCAATCCTCCTCTTTTTGCTGAAGAAGACTGGCCCTGGGCTAACATCCATGCCCATCTTCCTCCACTTTATATGGGACGCCGCCACAGCATGGCTTGACAAGCAGTGCATCGGTGCACGCCCGGGATCCGAACCAGCGAACCCCGGGCCGCCACAGCAGAGCACACACACTTAACCGCTTGCACCACCAGGCCAGCCCCCTTTATTTTTTAGTTTACAAGTTGAAAGCCCAAGTGAAGAACTGAACAATTATGCAGGGAACTGAATTAACATAAAATGTCTAAATAATTCAGGTCAAATCTCTCTTTTTCTTTCTCTTAGCAATGCTTTTTAAATCTATATAATTGTCTTAATCTTTCTTTTATTTTCCTCTGCAGATTACGCTAATACATCATCAGTTCTAATATACTGGAAATAAGACATATCCAACATCTAAATTTCAAGAGCAAAGAAAAAAATAATGAATTTCTGATGAAACCATAGTAAAGAAAAACCCAAAACCTATGGAAAATTTATCTGAAATGCACCCCTCTAACAGATATAATTTTGCAGTTGAAATATTCAGGATATTAAATTGTTCTTGCAAAATATGGCTTTAAGCGAAGTTGGGGAAACAAAATTTAGTGCTTAAAAAAAAAGAGTAAAATCTTCCTGAAAATTTTTTTTTTTTAAATGCAAGCATCCTAACATTTTTTTTTTAAATTGGCGACGGATCCATATGGTACTTAAAGTCAATTTCCTAGAGGAATGCGCTAAAATGCCATAGCTTCTCCGTGCTATGAAGGAGACTTATGGAGAGAATTTGGTAAATTTAGGAAAAATAGGAATGTCAGACTGGAAAACTCCCTCCTGGCTCCTAGCAGATGTGTGTCCCTTAACACATTTGTCTGCACATTCAAACCCTCTTTGCTCAGGGTGCTGGAAAGCAGGATATATTTTTTGCAGCTATAGTCTTTTGTTTGTTTATCTTTTCAGGGAAAGATTCGCCCTGAGCTAACATCTGTTGCCAATCTTCTTCTTTTTTGTTTTTGTTCCCCAAAGCCCCAGTACATAGTTGTAAATTCTAGTTGTAAATCCTTCTAGGTTTTCTATGTGAGCCATCCCCACAGCATGGCAACTGACAGGTGGTGTGGTTCTGCACCCAGAACCGAACACGGGCCGCCAAAGCGGAGCACACCAAACTTTAACCACTAGGCCATCAGGGCTAGCTCTCAACACCTATAGTTTTTATGGTTAAATTATGAAGACAAACATTTTTTGACACAGCATTTTTGAATAAGACTTGAGTTTAGAGCTATGATTCTCAGAAGAGGGGAAAGAACATCAGAAATAGAATCTTTAAGGGGCTTTGTTAAAAGAAACACACTCTCACATGCCGCCTCTTCCCAGTCAACAGTCCCTGGGGGGAAGAAGGGGGCCCCTGGCACTGATGGGAGTATGTGGTATTCCCTCAGGCCTGCGTGGTGGTGGTGGGAGAAGGCTGAGAATCAATGACACAGAAGAACAACTACGGAAAAATATTTTGTGGCAATAAGAAAGCATGTAAAAAATGAGAATTCTCATCTTGATTTTTATTTCTTTTACAAAACAATTGTTTTAAAACTTCTTACAAAATTTTTTTTAAAAGACATATAAATGACATGCGGGAGATGAGAATATATTTCTCTAACACAAAGGCATTAAAGTAAACAATACTTCAGGTGCTAGACAGCACATATGGCACATTTATTCGCTAAGACCAGAATCCTCTGAGTTAATCACTTCTCTTTCTTCCAGCACAGTATTATTGGTTGTGGGAAATAATTCGCCTGAACTGCTATCTTTTGCTGCGTCCAGTTTGGTGGCCTCCTCCCAAGTAGTTGCCAGAGGCTTCCCAAGGGTTTCTGGAAGCCTTAGTGTCAGCAAGCCACTCACAAAAGCCAAAATCCCAAGAAGCGACTAGAAGGAATTAAAATAATAACAATAAGTGACACATCAAGAAAGAAACATGCCCTTCAGAGAATAATAATTTCAGAAACTTTTTCAGAGGGCAATAGAATTGGATCTGACATAACAGTTGTCATTTTTATTCTTCGGTGAGACCTGTAGTTACTTATGGAAGTTCTTTAACTCATCCAATAGGCTTGGTCTGATCACTCATTAATTCATCATTAACCGCTGAGGAGCACCTACTCAATAAATCCCAGTTACTGCCGGCATTATTACTCTTGCAGGCACTGTTCTAGGAGCCACACAGCGAAAAAAGTCCCTGTCCCATATTCCCAGTCTCCAGAGTCTTGTGGAGAAACCCAGCAATTCAGTCTTGAGTTGGGACTTGATGGTGAAGGACAGTCTCAGTCAACCCTGTCCCTGCCCCAATAATCGGTATGCTGTCAGCATTCAATAAATGATGGGGAATGAATGAATGAATGCATGCATGCACCAATCAGTGTTTCAATGAACCCAAACCGACAGAATTTAGAGGGAAACAAAACAAAGGCAATGGAAACTAACTGCTATTTTGGGGGGGGAAGAGCATCCATTTGATTTTCTATAAAAATTTAGTATTTCTTTACTTTCCAAATTTTGACACATAAAAGGCAAACTTTTAGACTAGCACCGTGTTTTCCTTTAAATATGAAAATCATATTAAAAATTAAAGTCTACATATTTATTCTCTGTTGATCATTATGAAGATATTGGGTGGATTTTAGAACTAAATCTCTACATAGTCTGTAAAAACGCATTCTGTCCTTACATAATTTAAACTCCTTTAGCAAAAAATACTGCCTGGGAAGAACCCATAAAAATAAATTAAGGCATGGTTTTTCTGATAAATCTACCTACTTGGTGCTTTTACAGCCTCTGAGGATGAGAAGCATGAAGCACACAGTGCAGCAGTGACGGGATGTGAGGGCACATCAGTAACAGACGTGACCTGGGAGGACAGCTTTTTATTTGGTTTACAGAATGCTGATAACCTCATTCTCAGAAATATGGGCTAAGCCTAGAAGCAGTAGCAGAATTTAAAGTGATATTCCAAAGAGTTTTTAAAGGCATTTTCTAGTGTCTTGAGACATAGCAGGTATAATCCACTGATGCAGACACCCCAGAGGAGCCCTATGTCAGGGTCTGACGAACACAGAAGAAGTCTAAACATGAAACAGAATCAAATGGAAGATCCAAGACGGGACTGGATTTTTCTTTTTAGCTCAGTAGTGAAAAGGATAGTCAGGCAGTAAACAAACCCATAACCCTCCATGTCCCCTCTCACTCCAAGCAGAAGACCCGGCCTCCTGCAGCCCTGGCGGGCTCCCTCCACCCCCACAAACGTCCCAATGAGCCCCCCTCCCCACCTCTTCCTCTCCCTGGCCGGGAGAAGCCCTTCATCCCCTCCAGACTCCACTGCCTCTCACCTCCTCCTCCGGGGTCTCCCTCCATCAACAGACCTCCCTCCTTCTCACATACTTTTGACCTTTTCCATTATGCTGGTTATTTTCCCCCAGGAAAAATAAAAGTTCTCGAGCCTTTGGTAATCTCCGTACCCACTCTGCAGGGGAACTTGCACTTGCTACCTGTGTGGCCTTGGGCAAGTTACTGAACTTTCCTGCTCCTCAGTTTCCTCATCTGTAAAATGGAAATAATAACAGTGCCTGCCTCAAAGGACTGAAAGGATTAAGTAACACATTTAAAGCACTTACAAGAGTGCCTGGCCCCTGGTAAGCAGTCAGTAAATGCTAGTTGTCATTACTGCTACTTTATCTTTTAAAACAAGCAAAAGAGGCCCTCTGCCTCGGCCCACACCAACTCCAGCCTCCAGCCCGTCCTCTCCACCGCGGTCACTGCTTCCCCCTCTGTCTCTCTTCCCGTCTTGCCCTCTGCAGCACGGCCCACCCCCACCACCCACAGACGCTGCTCTTCCCAAGCCACAAACTCCTAACATCCAATGGATGTTTTCCTGAGCCGCTCTTTCCAAGCCACTGTCCTCTCCTGCCTTCCTCACCTCCTCTTCCCCTTTGAAATCCTGGTCACCTCCCCGCCTCCCTGGCTGCTGCACCTCAGTCTCTGCCCTGGACTCCTCCATCCATCGCACCTTAAATGCGCTGCTCCCAGGGTTCTGCTCTTCAGTCTCGCTCACTCCTCCCTCGCCTCTTGATAAGCTGACTCCCAAACCTGTGCCTCCAACAGGCCCGTCCCCTGAGCTCCAGACCTGCAAAAGCATCTGCCTCCTGGACGCCTCCCCTGGCCGTCCTGCAGGCACCTCCCACTCAACACACCCCATTCGAGTGCACCGTCCTTCCCCACCTCAGCCCTGTTTGACCTCTTGGGCTCCCTCTAGCCCCAAGAATGACTCTTGCATCCCTCCGCCCTCTCCACCACACCCAACAGGTCACCAGGTCCTGTGGATATGACTTGTCCATCCTGTCCTCTCCAATCCACCTTTAGTCTGAATTCTCTTCCCTTCTGACCCCCTTTGAGATCCTTGCCCATCTTTCCAGACTTCTCTTCTGACTCCCACAACCCACCCTGGATGTTAGCAATAATGCTTCCACCCCAACCCAAACTGGCCATGTTCCTTTGCCCCTCTAAGCCTTTGCCTCTTTGTTCCCTCTACCTGGAATTCTCTTCTCTCCTCCTCCACCAGGTTGACTCTTCCTGGCACCTCCAGATACAGATTAAAGGCTTCCTCCTCCAGGAAGCATCCTGCCTGGCCCTAGCCTGGGTTGGTAGCCCTCTCCTACAACCCCATAACCCCGGTATTTCCCCGCTATGGCCCTCTTCTCTGGGGCTTGTGACAGTTTGCTCTTCTGCTTTCCCCACCACCCTGGACGTCTCTGAGGACAGAGGCTGTTTCTTTCATCTCTGGTCCTTAGCATAGCAGGAGGTTAGTTCAAAATCAACACTCAATAAACCTTTGCCAAATGAGTTGATGAATGAATTGTGTTCGCTTTTTCCTTTTAGATTACTAGAAAATAATGGTCAGTAATAAAAGCGTCAGAACGACTGATTTTCATGTGCTTCTTTTCAAAAGAGAAAACATAAACTTATCTTCTCGATTAGCGTTTTCATTTCTCAAAATGAAAACACTGGCTCCCTAGGCAGTTTGACGTCCGTAAATAAGCTTAATGAGAAATTTAATAATTTATTTTTTTACTCATTAAAAACAACAAGCAACATGTGTTGCATCCAAAGGAAGCACATTCACGGAATATTTCTGCAAATATACACAAGACCCTGCTGACAGAGGCTGTCTTGGGGCAGCGGGTCTGGGGCAGGCAAGGGCAGTCAGGGTCAGAGGGAAGGAGGAGCTTATCTCTCTGCATTATTCCCTTCTGTACTGTTTGTTTGTTTAACCTGGTAAAAAGTGTGGTATTTGGGTTTGAATCCAAGCTGTGTCACCTTTACAGACCTTGGGCTGTAACCCTTGGTGTGACCTTGGGCTAATAACTACTTTCTGTACATCAGTCTCCACATCTGTAAAATGGGGACAGCAATAGTCTCTGCATTCTATGAAGACTAATTTTTGTAAAGCACTTAAAATAGAGCTTGCCACGTAACAAGCACTACTTAAGTCCCTATTAAATAAAATTAAAGATCCCCTTTAACTCCATAGTCCCTAATTGACTGTTATGGATGTCCTTTAAAAAAATCTTTATGTAGTTTTAGTCGTTTTTATAGCAGTTTGCTTTTATAGATTTATATGTCTTCTTCGGAGTGTTTCAGCTCATTGTTTTTAAAAATACTTTTCCGTTTTTATCTTTTATTTATTTAATGAGGAACACAAAGTGCTAGCACAAAGGAGATCCTTCTAGAAAAGTGCATGCATGCCCTAAAAAGGATGGTAGACTCTCCAAAAATACTTCCCTGTGCAGGCCAGACAGCCCGTATCATTTCTCAACTTCAGAGTCAGCCCAGGAAAGAGGCTGGCATCCCAACACCCCAATCAAGCAAACTTGACTGAGTGCCCGTTCCTGGGACATGAGAGAGACCCACGATAGGCCAATGAGTCCCAAGGGCAGAGGCACACCACCTGTGTACAAGGTGATGTCAGGTAGCATCAAACACTTCATTTTATTCCTTTTGAGGTTTTGTTAAATTGTATTTTAGAAAACATATAACTAGTATAACACCCATGATTTCACTGAGATTATTGGCCAGTCTACTTGATTTAAAATATTAAGTAAATTATAACATGAGTGGCACATAAAGCGAGGGAAATGCTTTGCCGGACCCAGTAGTGGGGATACAAAATGCCCATTCTGCAAGAGTTCAACAGTTCAACTGAGGGACAAAGATACACACGCAAATAATGAAGCCAGCCTGTGACTGCAGCCTGGGAAAGGAGTGCACTCGAAATGCTACGCAGACATGAGACAGGGAGAGGTTGGGTAATTGGATGATGGTGGCCTTCTTGGAGAAGTCGGGTTTGCTCTGCATCTTAAACGATACCTGGGGGCTGCTTCATCTAAACTCCTACAATGTTTGGCCTCCCACCAGTCATCCAGCAGAGGCACTGCGGGAGGATGAACTGGGAACGAGGCAAGTGGTTCCAGTTCTGGTATTGTTTCTCCAGCTGTGCAAGTCACAGCCACTAAAGCTCTGGGACAGCCTCATCCAGACGATCCTGGCAAGGCAGCTGCTCTCCACAAAGCCTGGGAAGACCATGTGAGAGGGACTGTGTTGTGTGAACGGCCATAGACTTCATGGAAATACTGGGAAGAAATCGCTGCCTTAACTAATCTTATGGTTCTGGGAGCCCTTCAAGGCTCTGTCCCAGATGGAGTTCACACTTTTGAGACAGTTTGAGTCCTAATGGTTCCTGGATTTACCTCTTAAAAAGAAAAAAAACATCTATATCTGTCTATCTGTCGTAAAATATGGTAAAAGGTCTATATCTGTCTATCTGTCGTAAAATATGATTTAAGTATAAAAATGCATAAAACAAAAGCACAGTTTAAGAAGTAATTATAAAGCAAACACATCATGTTCTTGATAAACCACAACAAAACACTGTTTGCATCCCAGAAGCCTGCCTCTCCCTCCTCCACAGTCGTCCCGATTTTGTCACTTAGCCTTATCTGTTTTCCTCGTTTTAACATCACTTCCGTGTAAAGCCCATGTAAAACTGTTCCCATTCTCTTAAAGAAAGGAAAAAAATATAGATACCTGGAGGTGGCAGGGGGAGATGGGAGAGAAGCATGCTCTGCCGAGGGCACGTTCAGGCAGCGGCATAGGAGGAGAGTGGGTGGCGGGTGAGTGAGAACAGGGTGAGCATGGAGAGGAGGGGGAAGTGTGTGAGGAAACCAAACAAATAGGGATGATCAGCAGGAGGTCGCTCTGGAAAAGGCCTGAATATCAGGCAGAGTTTGGACTTTATTCTGAAGATGAGGGGGCAGTTGGGTCAGAGCTGTGGTTCAGTAAACTATTCTGATGGGGTAGGGGTGGTGGAGTGGAGGAAGACCCGAGAGGCAGAAGGTGAAGAGGCACTGAACTGCGAGCAGGCAAGCTAGGGTGGTTTTGAGAAAGAAGGTAAGGATTTAGTGTCATGGATTTGGAGGAGAGGGAGAAAGAGGAACAGAGGGAATACAAAGCCCATGCTCAACTGTCATGCTGGAGGCCACTGACTCCCTGACCCAAAGTGGGAGACAGAGGAGGAGGGAATGTAAGTCACCAACCAGTTCTGTTTAGGAAACAGTGAATTTGTTCTAAGACACCCAGGAAGAATATCCATGAGGCTCGTGGAAACATGGGTTTGCAGCTTGGAAGAGAAGTCAGAACTCAGGAGAGGTTATCCACGCAGAGATTGGGAAAGACAGCCAGGATGGCTCTTGGAGAATGAGTCTATTTAAGGAGCAATCGGAAAAAGAAAGAGGAGCTCTGAGGGAGGGAACAGCCTGGAGAGCTACGGCAAAGAAGTCCCGGAGAGGGAGCCTGGAGGAGGAGGGAGAGGGCCAGCAGACCCAGGGCTTGCCCCGAAGTCACTGCAGCACCTGTGTCACTTCCTAACACCCCCACCCCTCCCCGTCTCCCCTCTTCCTCCTGACCAGAGCATCATACTAATCCCAGGTGTATGACAGTGCTCCACGTGACTTTCCAACCTTGCAGCCCCTACCTGAGGAAATCTGCAAACTGAACACAACCGCTCTCACTCTTCATAACCCAGCAAACAGCTCATGCTACGGAGCCAGAGGAAGAGTACGAGAAGCCTCGCCCATGAACAGCCCGTCACGTTTCAGGTAACCTCAAAACCACAGATCCCTAAACCTCTCCATCAGGCATCACAGAAGCCTCCAAGGAGCAGGCAGCCTCCAGAATTTGCTTTGACCAGCAGGCACACAGTAGAACACAGAGGCCAGGGCTGGGGGTGGGAGGCAGCCTGCGGATCCAGGCCGAGGAGCACAGGCTGGGCGGGGCCGGGTGATGGAGACAGAGGCACTGAGAGAGGACAGAGACCGGAGCTCTCCCTGTGCAGTCCCGCTTCCTGATAGGGACGAGGACAGACCCTTCTCTGGCAGGCTGAGTTGTGATTAACAGCTCACCGGTGGTGGAAGGCAGAAACAAGAAATCAGCAACCACAGCCCTACTTACCGACTGGTGAGCTGTTAATAAGGTTTCTACAAACTCCCATAGTTGAATTATAAATTGGCTTCCAATAAATAAAAATGTAGAAGGCACTTAGCTGCTCTGCCTCTCTGCTGTCTCAGTAAGGCTCTAGAAACTGATGAACACCTGTGGCATGAAGATCCACACGCTGGAGAGAGAAACGCAGAGCGGGGCCATGATGCTTCCCACACGGCACACCATACTGCCACTCCCCACGGCCAGCGACCTGAAAACATGAAGAGTGTTAAAACAGCAGCAAGAACAGAAGACAAACAGAGTACAAATGATGCAGAGAGTGATGGAATGACTTCCTGTAGCCCCCATCCACCCTCCCAGCAGAGAATAAATAATAAAACTTAAGCTCAGCTTAATATACTTGGAAATAATCTACTTTAATTTTTTAAGACTCACTCGTGACTTATATCCACATTCTGTGAAACCCAGGCATGCAGATAATTCAAGACAAAAAAAAGGGCAAATCATTCTTCATCTGCTATGCACATGGGGTCCTTATGAATATTCATTAAGTCTAACACTGAGGATAACATCAGTCTTCTAAAGCCAGAATTTGTTTGGGGTAGGGAATGGAAATTTGGGAAAACAAAAGATTTATATCTATAGAACATTCTATTTCAATTTTTTGAAGTCAAGCAGTATCTTAATGTGATTTTCTTTAAAAGTTATTTAAAGAAACCTTATAGAATGTCTAGTAGGAAGGAATGTGCTTTTCTTGTGAATAAGTATCTCTTATTAAGCCAAGGAGAGAGGCCCCAGGAGAAACCAAACCTGCCAGACACCTTGATCTCCCTGGACTTCCAGCCTCCATAACTTCGAGAAAATAAATTTCCGTTGTTTGAGCCCCCCAGCCTTCGGTGTTTTGATATAGCCACCTTATCAAATTAATACAACTGACATCAGAACACCAAGAGACACATCCTGAGAAAATTAGCCTTGAGTTATATGGGGAGTCAGTGTAAGACAATTGTATTTGAGATTTAAAATGGTTTTAGGATAATAGAGTGTTATTTCAAAACAATTTCTTTAATATCCTTGCTAATGAGGTATAGACAAAGCCGCAGATTCAGAATTAGCATCATCGTGTAACTTAAAGCATCTCAGAGCTCTGGTAACTTCTATCAAAAGAAAGCTTTTATACTCAAAGGCCAAATATAATGAAATGACGCGTAAGTGAAAGATAAGAAAACAACAAAAAAATAAGTAACTCTTACCTTATAAGGGTTGGATACAATTCTGCTGTATAAAGGTAAATGAGACCAAATGCTGCCCCTATAGCAAATTTTCCAGCCATAGTCACCCCCACACTCCAGATATGGTAATCCTGAAAATATATATATATTAGTAAAATAGACCATCATAAGTAATATTTTTAAATGGAAAATATAAAATCTTTAAAATTATTATTTTAAAACTTTCTAATTCTCCAGTATTTTTCAGAACAATGAAGAATTTTATTTTTCTGTTTGAATTTATTTTGTAAACTCTACTTATGGTCTGCAAAA